ACACTCTAGGGGTAAGAGCCAGGGAGATCTGAGCCCCAGATCTGAACTCTGCACCCATGAATTATCTAGCTGTAGAAATTACTGAGTACCGCTGAGCCACCATTTCCCCTTTTACAAGTGGATATGATTAAACCACCACCTCCCAGGAAAGAGGAAAAGACTGAGTGGCCATGTGAGGATCAGCTGACTCCCACGTCTCACAGGATCGAATGGGGTTCTAACAACCCGAGTTTATAATGGAACAAAAAAGAATAGGAAAGGCAAAATCCACATCAAGGAATGACATACAACCAATTTACTCACAGTTAACTTAAGCATAAATGTATACACATAATCAGTTATAATTAATATCCACATCGAACTAGGGAGTACATGATGCTGGTATTCTTTCCAATTCCTTCTCAGTGAGGGATCTCAGGAGAGCTTTGTCTATGTGTGCCTAATCCGACAGGAACACCCCTGCCCTGGCCCTTTTAAAACTTTCTTTCTTCTACATTCATCACATGGTTCTTTGTGGCCTCTGGTCCTCCCTATATCCCCCACTAGTATCTGGCCCATGATGGGCCACTTGGGATCATCTAGGACCAGTTTTCTATTGCAGCCAATTCTTAATGCTTGAAGTTCAGAGTTTAAGAATCATCACCATTAACTCTGACCATTGCTGGTCCCAAATCCATTTTCTCTCAGTAAAACAAGAATAGTCTTACAGGGTTGTTCAAAAATAATATTTAATCCAGTTAGCACAATGCCAGCCACTTATATAGTAGGTATTTTTTATGTCAGCGATCATCATCCTGCTCTTCCTTATTCAGCTACTTGTTAAGGTGGTTCCCAAAGATGCCCTTCAAAACAACCTCCAGCAATTTCCCTTCACATTAAGAGAAGATGGTTTTATGAATCACCCTGAATTTGGCAGGAAAAAGACAACTTTCAAGTGGAGAGTTACAAACAAAGCAAAAAACTAATTCCCTGATGATGCAAAAGTAATCTACTTTTTGCCTACTTTTTCAGTTCCACTTTAAACCCATCCAAGTGTAGTTTTGTTGTTTGATTACTTAATGCCACACAGGTAGGTGCTTCTGGGGAGTTAATTTACCTTCAAAGGGCCAGCCTAGCATCTTTATCCTAAATGTGTAAAGGAACCAACAGAATCTCATTTTAACACATTACCATTCTACTCCTCATCGGAGCTTACTTAAATGCTAAGTTTAGGCAGCACATGGTGGCCCAGATTCAGTTCACACTGTGAAGTAGAAACCAGAAGAAAGCGACAGGTTTTCTATGGATGTGGCACCCTCAGAGCTGGTTTGCAAACCAGCTACTGCTGGGATCATGATGTTTGGGATCACACCCCAGACCAGGGCACAGCAACATGAAGAAGGGGGCAACCTATTCAGTTGTGCTGTAACTGACTTGGCATGAGGTGGTGGGGGTGACTCCTTCAAAGGAGAACTGAACACCATGCATGGATTAAGACTGTATTTAGCAGACAGGAGTACTTCATCCACCAGGAAGAAAAGTATTAAGCACAGGGATGATTTCCCAGATTCTATCTCAGTATGGTCAGCATCTCCTCTGAGATTTTGCAATTTGCTTTTTTTTTTGATTCTGTGATCACTGAACAAGCTTCTGACTCTTATTTCAGTCACCCCAGTCACCTTAATACTCAAAAGGGGTATCTTGGGTCATAGAAATAAATATCTCAGTTACTGGGATGGTAGTGCCTCTCATTTTATAGGAATAAATTTGTTTTGTTGCATATACATCAATTTTCTGGGAGTTTAGCATGATTCAGTCTAGTAAGCTCCAAGTTCACTTCAAAACTAGAAGGTTTCTATTAGAAAGTTGAGAACCAAACTTTAAATCAGCATTTCATTTAACTCTACTGTACCTCGGTTTCCTTACCTATAAAAGCATAGAGAAATAACAGCACCTACTTTAAATGGTTGTTGTGAGGATTCATCATTTAATAGATACACATTATTCGTGTATATGTATGTATATGAAATGATTTAACATATGGAAAGTACTTAGGATGGTGCTTGTTTTTCATAATGACCCACAGGTGCTACCCACTTACAAAGAATGTCCTGCTAAAAGCAGCCAGCTGTCATCTCTCCTTCCTAAACTTTCTTGCACAACCCTCTAAGAACTTACCTCATTTAGCCACTCCACTGTGAAAACCAGAGGCTTCAAATAAAAGCTACACTGAGAATGGCTTTGGCTTCATAAGCACATGACTTGTATGATTGCATAGGCCCCGAGTTTGGTTTGATGCTCACCTGTTGCCATTTAGAAATTATTAATAATTTTTCAACAGAGGTCTGACATTTTTATTTTGCACTGCACCCTACATGTTATGCAGCCAATCCTAGTCACACAGGACCAAAAAACTAGCCTAGTGATCTCAGATAAACTACAGTACCCATACTTCCTTCTGGGTGACTCTGTCCTAGTTCCATGGTATGAGGAGAATGATGAGAAAGGTGGATTAATATAGCCATAGACATAGCCTTGCCAATGAGCAGAGTGGCAGCTTCTTGGATATGCAGCAACATCTCCAAGCTACAGGCAGTAAGTTCTCTTTCAAGGGTCTCAGTAGACTCAAGGAAAACTAAAAGAAACTCTGAAAGTGCTTCCCATCCCTCCTCCTCCGCACTGCAATAACAAACTCACTTGGTAATTCATTGTAAAATGATCTGAATTCCTCAGAGACATGGAGAAATCAGCTTGGCTTTCAGCACAGGGAGTGACACCAGAACATCAGCCATTGCAGGGAAACAGAGCACGAAGTCACTCTGGATGAGGTCTCCCAATGGAGACTACTGCAGGGGAATGGGGAGGGTGCAGTGGCTTCAGAAAAGCAACTGGTACCAGCAACCCTTACAGGTGACATGGAAGCAAGAGCTTTGGCTCTGGAAAATCTTTCACCAGTGAATGAGGAGGCTGTCCTGTCTAAGTGTCCCTCTGAGACACCCAGAAGGAACTCCCTGTTTGGGCAGAAGGAACTGTGGTTGGAGTTCCACTAAATTCAGTACTGGGAATTAGAGGCAGAGTGTGTGGAACACACTGTAAAGTGTTCCTCCTTTGAGCTTCCAAGATGGAGTGGTCCAGGGAGAAACGGACTCTACCAATGTTCGGTCCCATGGTTCTCATATGTATGAATGTCTGTGTTTATACAGTGGGTCTGACTTTGATACCTGCAGCCATAACATCACCTCTCCATTCCCAAGTGAGTTCCTGTCATCTTCTGATTCTCCTCTCTGTGGCCCTGATATCACCATGTAATTTCCCAATGGTTACTCGCCGCTAGGATGTGTGGATGAGCCTTTGGAAACACTGCTGCAAAGCTGCTTGTTGAGAAACCCATCTATGTGTCCTGGCTCTCAATAATTCAGTTCCTTTGAACATGCTGGTTCACTTTGTTCTGATTTTAGAATCTGGAAATGCAGAGCAAGACATTTCTAAGCTGGGAATTTGCCATCCTGTTGCAGGAGCACAGCAGCAGTCCCAGAGAAATATTTTTCAAGGCTGCAGAGAAAACAAGGGCTGGAAAAATGTTTGTTTATTGCCAGCTCTCCCCACAGCCGCTTACATAACAGCCTGTGCTGAGACAGGCTGTCCTGCCCAGGCTCAGAATCAAGAGTCACACTCCTTGGGATGATGACAGAGACAATGTGGGAACTACAGGGCTATGGCCTATGACGTCCAGGAAGGAAAACCAAGTGGTGTGTAGTGATTAGTTCTTTCACAATGAGGGGATGGCTTCCTGGGGTGTTTTCAAGCTTTCGGGTGGTGGCACAGTCTGCAAGACGGGGAAAGGCTCTGTGAACAAGATATGACTAAAGAATAGTTTCTCATTTTCCATTTTTAAAAATAAAACAATGCACACTCAACCGTGCGTGAGCTGAAGGGTAGAGTCAAAAGTTTAGGTATTTTCTGACCTTTCAGATCCATTCAGACTTTCTAAAAGCCACAGACATAAACACTATATCCAAATGTGGGAGCATTTAAAAAGTTTGGACAAAATAGTATACATTTTGTTCAACAGTTTATTGCAAAGAAAAAAAAAGGGAAGAAGCACATGAAGTTTTTTTCTTCAGAAAACAAACACAAAAAACTAACTCTGCCAGGAAAAAATGTGAAACCCGTAGACAGATCATGCTTAAGGGTTTAAGGGGACAGTTTGCCTCCCCCACAGCTTTACTGAAAAGCAGATGTGATGGGCAGCATCACAGAGGCCTGTAATCCAGCTCGGCGCAGCAGCCACAGGCAGCCTACACTCTTTCAACAGCCTTCCTCTCGGGGAGACCCGGGGCCTCTTGGACTGTTCCAGGCTTTAAGTGCATATCAAACAAACATTTGCCATATGTTTTAACTTAATTTCTAGGTTAAACGTAGGCCCATTCATTCTCATTCCTTGCTTAACAGCCTTCCTGAGTAATTGTCTATTGACTTTGCTGCTTGCTGGTCATACCTGGGTGTGCATTTGTCTTACACCAGACACACCTAACTCTCAGCCTCTGTAGTCACAAATAAGGGTTCTACTTGTTGCTTTAGAATGACAAGTTGCAACTAGCACAGTGTTACACATAGAAGATACTCAATTGGTATTTTCTTGATGGAGTCATGTCTCTGTAGAAGATACTCAATTGGTATTTTCTTGATGGAGTCATGTCTCTGTCTCGCTTCTTATTCTTCTAGCTTACTTCCCCCACTCCTACTTTTATTTCTTTCTTCCCCCTCTTTTGTCAAAAGGTTGGGCTTACCAGAAAATCCACTGAGTACTTGCTAACCCTCTGATTTACACCACACGAGTAGCACCAGGTCCACAAGACAGAAAAAAACTCACCTTGGGGTCCCAAGGTTGGCCTGAATCTTTGAAAATGTGGGGTCGTGATTTATTTTAGTCAAGTGGAGATCTAAAAAGGAGCAAAGATAACAGGACCCCGCAATTCACCCACTGGATCCTGTATGTAAGAACCTTTGTGATTTCTCACCTTGGTAATTTCCTGCCCTCTCTTTCCGCGGGTTCTTCCCCAAACCATCATGGACCAGTTGGACTCTGAGAAGAAAAGTTTCTGATCTTTAGTTCATTCTTCCAAGTTCCTAGAAAGCAGGAAAACTGAGAATGAAAAATTCTAAATTACTCAGGACTCATGGGTCGCCAATAGAAGAAATACATCTTAAAATGGCTTAAGCCTGAAAGGGAAATGTATTTGTTCATGTAACTGAACCATAATGAAGGATGGTGGACTGAGGGACCTGAAAACACCCTCAGGACTCCCTCACTCTCCTTTGTGCTCCTGTCTGATGCCATCTTCCCAGACCTGCTCACTCTCCGTAAGGTGGGGATGTAGTCATCAGCAAAGTGCAGCTCCCCGCAGCTTGTGACTGAGTAGATAGGCGTCCCCCAACCCATGAGGATTGAAAAGTTCGTCTAGGAATTATGCAGATTGGCCCATTCACTATGACATGTTCCTCCTATGCAGCCAAAGGAACTGGGTCTGTTACCAGAAGAGGTGGGAGAGGGGTGCTAGGCAGATTCAACAACAGCCACTACAACATCTGAGGAGGAGACCTCCATGAAGGCCACCAAGTCTGTTAGCAGATATTTCCTCCCTCGGATCGCTCTCCCTATCCTCACAGTCTCATAAGTGAGGATTAAATGCTACATGTGGTCTAGGAGATCTTAGACCCTCCACACAAAGATATAGTAACAATCAGCATCCTAATATCCTGGCAGAGAAAAAATCAGAAAGAATCGTTTGCCTGATTTTTCCATCAATACCAAGAATTAATTAGAGATGAAATTTGTAATGGACTCAGAGAATTAGAGAAGATCTAAGGGAATCTCGATGATTTCCTACCCCTAACCAGAGCCTGACAAAAAAAGGTGAAGGTCTATGACCATCTTGTATTTGTTATGAGGCTGGACAAGGAAGCTCCGAAGGTCGTTTAGACTCTGAGAGATCATAAGTCTGTAAAACCCTTCCAACTTGAAATTAGTTGATCCCTTCCTTAAATTGTCTAGGACATTCCCCCACTCCCTCCACTCTTATTAGCTGATTTTACTGACCAATAGGCCTTGAAGTTGGTGGTTCCATCTAGATGTCTCACATCAACTCCCCTTTTGCAAATTAAGCCCATACCCTGAAACAGGGGAATTCTGAAGCCATTAGAAACTAGAGAGTCAGCCAGGCATGGTGGCTCATGCCTGTAATCCCAGCACTTTGGGAGGCCAAGGTGGGTAGATCACTTGACGTCAGGAGTTCGAGTCCAACCTGACCAACATGGTGAAACCCCGTCTCTACTAAAAATAGAAAAATTAGCCAGGGGTGATGGCATGCACCTGTAATCCCGGCTACTTGGGAGGCTGAGGCAGGAGAATCGCTTGAACCTGGGAGGTGGAGGTTGCAGTGAGCCGAGATAGCACCAATGCACTCCAGCCTGGGCAACAGAGTGAGACTCAGTTTCAAAAAACAGAAAAACAAACAAACAAAAACTAGAGGGTCTCCTCTTAGCTCCTAAACCCTCTTAGCCAACATTTGTGAGCCTCTTTTCTGTATGTTTTAGCATCTTTATCCCTTTCCTTTGTGTCTTGACCAAATTCACCAGATCATGACTCAGAACAAAATCCTGAGGTTGAATACAAAGGTCTAGAACATCTTCAAATTAACTTTTTCTCCTCATACAGAATTAGACAACTTGAGAAAGCAAGAGGGAGTGTGTGGAGTTTTTGTCCTCATTTTCCTCTTTCCTATAGTAGGTAGAATAATGGCTGCCCAGAGATGTTCACATCCTAATCTCTGGAATCCATGAATATGTAATGTTGTATGGCCAGAGGAGAATTGAGATTGCTATTAAAATGACTTAAAATGGGAGATTATCCTGGATTATCCAGATGGGCCCAATGTAATCACAAGTGTCTTTAAAAGTAGAAGGAGGAGGCAGAAGATTAGGTCAGTCCGTGATACAATGTGAGAAAAGCTCAGCCTGACATTGCTGGCCTGGGAGATGGAAGAAGGGGCCACAAGGGGTACCAGCAGTCTGTAGAAAGTAGAAAAGGTAGAAACACAGATTCTTCCCTGGGGCCCCCAGAAAGGAACACAGCCCTGCCAACACTTAGAATTCAGCCTGGTGAGACCCGTGTTAGACTTCTGACCTACTGACTGCAAGATAATAAATGTGTGTTGTGTAAGCCACCAAATCTGTGGTTATCTGTTACAAGCACAATAGGAAATTAATACACTTTCTACTTGTTTTAAGTGTGTCCTGAAAGGTTAGGTTCTTTAGGATTCCGATTGCTGAACTATATGGAGACAGCAGAGTTTAGTCAAAAGAAAAATCTTAGACAAATTAAATTTAACAGAGTTTACTTGAGCAAAGAATAATTCATAACTTGGTAGCCCCAGAACCAGAATAGGTTCAGAGAGACTCTGTTGTTGCCACGGTGTCAAAGAAGATTTATGGACAGAAAAAGGAAAGTGATGAACAGAAAACAGAATTGAGGGACAGAAACAGCCAGATTGATTACAGCTCAGTGTTTACCTTATTTGAACACCATTTAAACAGTTGGCTGGCCTTGATTGGCCAAAACTTGATGATTGGCACAAGGGCAAGTTACAGTCTGCTCACACATCCGTTAGGTTACAGCTCACTATGTATGAAGAAACCTTTAGGATGAACTGAAAATATATAAGGAGGGAGCTTTAGGCTAAAGTTAACAGTGGACAAGATTTGACTCTGCTACTACGTCACCTTGTGGTTTTGGGTGAATCAGTTTCTCTGGTTCTCAGTTTCCATATCCACAAAACAAGGTCGTTTTATTAAATGATCCCCAAGACTCTCCCCCTTTAAGTTTAGACATTCAGTATCCTCTCCCTCTTCTTAATGGTGTCAAATGCTCTGGAAGCCCCAGCAAATACCTGAGCTGCCCCTGTCACCATCCACTGCAGAGTATGGACAGGGTAAGAATGTCCACAGTTTCCAGCTCTTTCAGGACTTGTCCACCACGAGTGAGGCCATAGGAGGTCAGGGCGGGCACAGCAGCTGCCAGTTCTCTCCACTCAGGAAGAACATACCCGATGCCAAGGAAGAAGCACTGTAGGGACAGAGGTACTAGAGAATTCTAAAACCCAAGTGGCCATGGAAATCCTCCTAAAGGCAAGGAGATGTGTTAGCTTCACAGGAGAGATGGGCTCTGAATAAGGACACTGTATCCAGAAGTTGGGGTGACAAGAAAGACACCAGGTGGGTTATCATGGTGAATGGGCTAGGCTGGAAGAAGGTTTTGTGATAGGCATAAGGTCAGAAAGATCTGTTAAAACCAGATGGTGGGGCCTTAAAAGGTTCCAGGACAAGGACAGGAGGCTGAGGGAATGGCTTGATGAGGCCCTACTGCACTTTGTGCCATGTTGTATGCCCAGTAGTAAGCAGCAGGCACATAATAGGTGCTCAAGACAATAGGTGCTCAGTATGTGTTGGCTGAATAAATAAATAGGTATCAACGTATTTTTAGCAGGACATTGCCATTATCCAAGATGAATTTAAGGAAGATAAGTGGGACCTCCATAGACAGAGTGGACTGAAGGAGGCAGAGATGGAACATCTGTATGCTAGTCAAGAGGCTGCCAAACTGATTCAGACATAAGGGTCAAGCTGGGATGTTGGGCAGTGCAAACTGAAGGGAAGAAACACAGGTGTCATGAAGACTAAACCATTCCAACTGGGAGGATGTCATTTCCATTCATGCAAATCTCCAAGGAAGGAGACCCACCACCTCATGAATAAGAATGCAATAACCCAGACAGGCCGGCACACCGGAGCAAAATCTTCAGGCAGCCATGGAAGCAAGCATCCAACCAACACCATATTTTCAGTAGAAATGACCACTAATTTCTACACAGGTATTCTGCCTGTAATCAAAGCTAATTCTTAGTTCACCCTTGCTACCCCTAGACTCAACAACTCGAATTCTCCTAACTGCTTTCAGAGATCCATTCACTGAGTCTTCTCATTATTTCCATTTTTCTTCCCTGATCCCACTCCGGGTCCTCTCTGCCTTAAGTCATTTAGCTGGATCAGAGCAGGTTTGCTCCAGTCACACTCATCTGACAGGCCTGCTTTTCCTCTAAGTAGCTGGCAGGAGCATAGCTCTGCTCTGGGAGGGGGACCTGTCCTCACGGGAACATGGCAGTTATGCTCCAAGTCCAGCTGGCCAAGAACTCAGACTGTCCTCCCTTAAAGGTTCCCCCACAGAAATCAGTGAGAGCCCACCTCCAGACAGTGGCTGGCCTCAGATCCCAGAGGAACTCACCATCCTTTTCCTCTCCATCATCCTCTCGAAGCTCCCCCGTCTCTGCCTCAGCCAAAGTCCAATTGGGCAGGGACAGAAGAGTAATTGAAGAAGGCCTTAAGGGATATCAAAGTGCTATTGAGCAAAACCACAACTCAACAGCCGTGCAGGTGCTTCCTGCGACAGGGAGGGAAAGAAGTGTCTTTAGAAAGCCCTAAATAACTCTAGGCAGGGATGTCAGCTTGACAAATGACTCGCGAGAAATAGCCCCGTTGTTCTCTGGTGTGTGATTCATCCGAGGCTGTGCTGGGTTGGGGGGCACAGCCCAACCGTGAGTCCCACCCTTGGTCACTTGGGGCCGCTCTTCAGCTTGGCTCCAGGATGGCTAAGAAGGCACTTTTGTTGGTGCTCTTGACCTCTGTCACTTTGACCTTGTTTTCCAGTGGTTTTATTTAGTGGTTTGTGCTGATTTGGTTTGAGCTGCATCCAGAGGAGGACAGGAACTGTGGGGAGACTCTTTCTAAGCATCCAAAGGCCTCTCTCCCTTTGATGTTAGCTCCCAGTGCTTCTCGCCATCATAACAACAAAGACCAGGGGCTCCTCGGGGCAGAAGCTCCTTTCATCTCCCTGTTCCCAGCTCCTCAAAGAGCTGGCTTATTGAAATGCTTGTCACATGTTGAATGGATAAGTGAAAATATCCCAAGACCAAGGGATATGACATGACAGCTAGTTTCTAGACTTAGTGCCGGGACCTTGACAAGGTACACAGGGTCTCTGGGCCTCTGTATCCCCGTCTGTGAAATAAGAAGGCAAGCTCTTGGGTCCCCTCAAACTCAGACCTTGAGGTTCAGAGAGGCCTGCAGAGGCTGACTGGGGCCTGCACCCAACTCGCAGTGAGGGGAACAAAGGTAAGGAGAACATGAGGGATCCACGGTTGTTTTGCATGCCCAGCAGTGGGAGTAAACACTAGCATGTTGAACACTTGCATGAAAGGTGTATGATGTTTTCAGTTAGGAGGTCGGCCTGGAGACCCCCTGCAGTAACACTAGATGAATGTATTGTGAGCAGCCAGTGTGCTGGTGTGGAACTCATAGGACACAAACAGCACCACTAGCCTCTCTGACTTTATTGGGTCCTCTTCAGCAAGGTGTCCCAGCCACCAGCTGGGCATTTAGTCTTTGGTTTATGGCGTGTTTTGGTTTTTTTGGTTGGTTTTTTTTTTTTTTCTTCGCATGAAACAGCACAGCAAATCCATTGTTAGAGGTGGGCCGTCCCACCAGCAGGGACAATTTCGTGAGTGAGTCATGCTGAGGAGGCGCTGTGTGAGGTGGGGCTGCGGTTTATAATGAAGTCCTGGGGCTGTACCGAGGAGACGGCCCAGTGTGTCCCAGTGCAGAGCCCATTTCTCAAAGCAGTCCTCGTCTGATACATTTTCTCATGCTGGTGGATGTGCTCTGGGTTTTAATGCCTTTAGTTTCCATCAATGGTAGCTTTGTCAGTGTTAACCGAAAGGAAGACAAATTTGTTTGAAATCAAGGCCTTGTGGATGCCTAAGTGTGTACCCTTCTCTGTGCAGAAAATGGTGGTAATCTTGAGATTGAAGACTTGAATGAAGTTGTCTTCTTTATGGAAAGGCATTTCAGCAACTGTAATTAATGGTCACAGAAGTCATCAAATGTTTTAACAATCCCAACAATCCCAGCTTCCCCTCTGCAAATCATTTTAGGTTTTTATATACAGATTGCTGATGCCCCTATTATGACTCTTACTCCTGTAAAAGTCAGGTAGGTGAGATTTCAACTTGCCCTTCATTTGTCCTTTCATTTACATAAAGCATCCAGTTACTCTTATACCTTGACGTGGCTTAAGCTGGTCTGATGGGAAATGGCTTTGTTTCAACAGTAGATATTTCCCAAAGTCTGGTCATCTCCAGGGAGTGGACAGACTTCCCACTGCAGAATTGAGGCAGATAAAAGGAAAAAGAAGTGCTCTCACGGCAAGACAGCAACACCTTTATATACGTGCGCACGCACACACACACACACACACACACACACACACACACACACATGCCATTTGGGTGCAGAGTAAATACCTATTTGACATATCTTTTCTGAAACACAGATTCTGAAACTACACAAACCTGGTTTGATCCCTCGCTACCACTTGTTAGCATGTGAGCCTGGATAAGTTGATTAACCTTTCTGAGCTTTGGTTCACTTGTTTATAAAATGAGGAAAATTAAAGGACCAAACCATAGTATTGTTGAAAGATCAAAGGAAGTAATATACATAAAGCACTTAGCACAGTGCCTGGAATATTCCAAGGTGTCGAACAAATGATTGATAATCATAACAATAACAATAACAATAACAGAATTTTCCTCTTTCCTGACAGACCTCTCAGCTCCGTGGTGCTCTATAGAAAGTCAGAGTTGATTCCATTTGGGGTTTACCATTTAGGATTCACTGTGAGGCAGAAGTACAATGTATGTTACAAGCTATTATTATTACAAATACGAATTCCTGGAGCAGAGGCAATAGGCAGTGGTCTGAGTTTGAAGGGACCTGAGATCTTACTTTCTTGTCTCCAAAACAAGGATATGTAGGCCCAGAAACCCTGAGTGCTGACCGAGTTTCCAGCTACTTATTCTTACAGTTAAGACCAGAAACCAGTTGTGAGTCTTGGTCTTGGGATCTTTTCACTTATCCATTCTACATTGGCAAGCATTTAAGTAAGCCAGTTCTTTCAGAAGTTGGGCAAAAGAAAAGGTGCCCATGGGCCGGGTGCGGTGGCTCACGCCTGTAATCCCAGCACTTTGGGAGGCCGAAGCCAGCAGATCACTCGAAGTCAGGAGTTCGAGACCAGCCTGGCCAACATGGTGAAACCCTGTCTCTACTAAACATACAAAAATTAGCCAGGTGTGTTAGTGGGCACCTGTAATTCCAGCTACTTGGGAAATTGAGGCAGGAGAATCGCTTGAACCCAGGAGACAGTGGTTGTGATGAGCCGAGATCGTGCCACTGCACTCCAGCCGGGCAACAGAGGGAGACTCCGCCTCGAAAAAACAAAGAAAGAAAGAAAAGAAAAGGGGCTCATGGTCTTTGTTGCTATGATGGCAAGAAGTGCTGGGAGCTAACATCAAAGGGAGAGAGGTGTTTGGATGCTTAGAGAGCCAGTCTCTGCACGTTTCTCATCCTCCATTGAATGCAGCTCATACCTAAACAGCACAAATCCAGGAGAAGCAAAGCAGCCTGCAGTGTGGACAAAAGGGCTGAAACAAGAAGTCCACACTGAGAGCTCAGCTTCAGGCTTTCTTCCTGAGACCCTCCCCTGTCCCAAATGAAATACAGTTTTTGCTCCATTAGGCAAAACATCTTAATTAGCAAGGAACGGATAGTTTCATAATCTTTAAAAAGAGTCCACAGTTCTCAAACACCCCCTCACATGGATGCACGTGAGGTATAAGACAGCAACCCAATGTCTGTTACTATGGAACTCAATGGTGTAAAATTAATTCACTAAAGCACACACCCACTGCAAAAACAAAAAAAACAAAAAAAACAAAGAAAAACACCAGCCTTTGCCAGCTAGGTGCTTCAGAAGGTGATATAGTTTAGATGTGTGTCCCCCTCCAAGTCTTATGTTGAAATGTAATTCCAAATGTTGGAGGTGGGGCCTAGTGGGAGGTGTCTGGGTCATGGGGGCAGGTCCATCATGAATGGCTTGGTGCCATCCCCTTGGTGATGAGTGAATTCTGTATTAGTTCATGTGAGATTTGGTAGTTTACAGAGCTTGACACGTCCTCCTCCTCTCTCTGGCTCCCTCTTTCGCCAGGTGACATGCCTGCTCCCCTTTCACCTTCTGCCATGAGTAGAAGTTCCCTGAGACCTCACCAGAAGCCAATCGGATGGGGGTGCCATGCTTGTACAGCCTGCAGAACCGTGAGCCAAATAAGCCTCTTTTCTTTGTAAATTGCCCAGTCTCAGGTATTTCTTTATAGCAGTGCAAAAGGGGCAGATAGAGAAGGCACTGATGTCACACTACATACAACATTTGCTTTCTGAGAGTCGCCTCCCACTCAAACGTAAGCTCCACGTGTTCAGGGATTTGCCATGGATCTGTTCACTGCTGCATAGCCAGTGCCTAGAACAGCACCCAGGCAGGCAGCCAATAAATATTTATTGACCCAGTAAATGAATCATACATGAACCAAGTATGAACAGTGGAGGCTGTGGACTGTCTCATATGTGAGTTATTTACCATCTCTGTGCTGAGTTTCCTTATCTTGAAAAGGCTATATTAATAGGATTGTCATAAGAATTATTGGCTTGTGTAAATGTCTTTAAAGCAGTGCTAATGTTACCTATTTTGGGCTCCATAGAGATTGTGCTTTTTCTATGTCCTCACAGAGGAATGGCAGATAGATCTTCAGCAATGTAACATATATACCTGAAAATTATTTCAATCAAATAATCATGTCAGAAAAGTCCTGAAAGAGCCTGGGCAAGGTGGCTCACGCCTGTAATCCCAGCCCTTTGGGAGGCCATGGCGGGTGGATTGCCTAAGGTCAGGAGTTCGAGGCCAGCCTGGGCAACATGGTGAAACCCCGTCTTTAGCCACACATGGCAGCGTGCGCCTGTAGTCCCAGCTACTTGGGAAGCTGGGGCAGGAGAAGTGCTTGAACCCAGAAGGCAGAGGTTGCAATGAGCCGAGATCACACTACTGCTCTCCAGCCTGGGTGACAGAGCAAGATTCAAGCTCCAAAAAAAAAAAAAAAAAAAGTCCTGAAAAGGATTTTTGGTGGTTGTTTATTTGTTGCTTGGTTTGACTTGTTTTCTTAAAAGGCCAGATGTGTATAAGGTGCTTGGTTTTATTCTCACTGTTTTAGATGAAGTGTTCAGACTCACCCATGATACCAAAAGAGCCATATTATATTTGGACACTTTTCCTGGTGATCCCCTTCCTACAAGACTGGAACATGTAACCTCCTAGACACCCTGATGATTCTCTAGTATCAATCCCCGTCTTGGAAGAGGGCCTCAAAGAGGTTTCCAGGTGGTGGGCCAGGCCAACCTCCTCAGGCAGCGAATCACACCATCCCTAAAGCTCATACCAGCTCACAGATAAGGCCTCTCAGCTAGACCCCTCCAAAAGCTTCAGCTCAATTAAAAACAAAGTACATATGGTTGACTTTAATAAAAAAACT